GGTGGTGGTGCGAGTCGGGGTGGGGGTGGGGGTGGGGGTCAGGGTGGGAGTGTAGGTCTGCCCAGAGCCCGCGGAGCTGGGGCGGGTGGCTGAAGACGTTCTGCCATCCTCCGATTTATACTGGGAGTAAGACGCTGGGGAAAAAGACAAACCAGACCAAAGTGTCAAAAACAAAAACTTTGTGAGAAAGCAACCACGAGGGAAACAAGAGACCAACAGAGAACCATGTTAATGCATCATTTCTAACATGAAGACAGTATTTATTCAATACTATTGACTTGTGTCTCTCCGATACAGCATAGGGATATCTCTTTCTGCTAGTAACTGATTGGTACAAATAACTGCAATATAAATATGAAAGCAATTGCTGACTGATGTCCTCTCACTTCTAGCTCTAAAGTTAAACTTTTATTGGAAGAATACAGAGAGTTTGATCATTTATACAGTATCAACCTCTTCTTTTAGCTATTCCATCATTTTCTTTTAATATGAACGTAGATGGAAAATTCTCATTTACAATACGTGTTGTCACAGGCCATAAGGTGTCAGGAGTATTCTTAAGGCTGATGATATGTTTAGACACATAGTAAGGTAAGGTCTAGAATAGTGTGTGTGTGTGTGTGTGTGTGATGTATCAAAAAAAAAAGAGTGAGAAAACAATATGAAAGTAAAAGAGGAACTGAACAAGACAAATTATGTGAATGAAAAAGACTGATTAAGAAGAAAGTGCCCAAACAAACCTAAAGTAAACCACCTTCAGCCTGGCAGTCTGTCTGTGCTGCCTCTACTGTACTCTCAAGCTCTATTTCTGACAACATTTAGGGCTTGTGCAGTATAACCTGACAGGAAACAAAATGGGGTAAGATGATATATATTGTGTTCCCTGTATTCTCAAATGTTCCCGGTGTGTTGCAGTGTTTCCACTCAGCTCAGAGCGAGGCTATTGATTAATGGTGGTATCAGGCTCAGGGTGACTCAGCACTTTCAGGGCAGCCTCCTGGACACAGACACAGAGCTTAACATTGGGCCTAATGCAGAAACAGATAAGCCTTTCCCAGATGTTCTAAAATGGGGTAAAACGCTGGCTTAATTAGTCAAGGCCAAACGGTATTATAGTGGCAAACATTATCACAATCTGCAGACCGGGTTCTTGACCTGTCAGAGAGAGTTAGGTCTCCACAGAGACCAATATGTCCCAGAAAGTCGAAGACTAAATTAAATGGTTTCCCCAGAGCCAGACTAAACCGACAGACTACAACACGTGGAATCTACCTGAAATAGCACAGGCTACACACCCTATTCTATATTTTTAGACATGGCTTCTTTAGCTCTTCGCTTCAGTGACATGTTAGCTCAGCAGGAGAATTAATGTTGCCGATAGAAGAGGAGCAAAGGTCAAGTTCATATCCACAGTGGACTCTCTTACACCTGGATGAACAAGCTCAAGTGCACTGGGTTTAAATGTAACAATCAGAACTGCATCTCCATTTTCCGCATAATAAAATGCTACTACTGACGTTCACCCTCAGCTGAGTTTTGTATGATCAGATTAGCCTGTGATATTTATGCTTTACCTATGACGCTAAAGTGTATTCAGATACAAAGGACTGAGAACTGCTGTACTGAGCCATGTGTTATACTGTATATACCAGAGCTATTGATGTGTGCCATATACACTAAATAATATCTAAAATTCCAGTTAATGAATAGAAATTTGGAAAAGCTTAAAATATTAGGAAGAGATGAAGGCCTAGAAGGACAGACCAAACATCTGTATTCAAATTGTATCTTTGACGAAACAATCTTAACTCAGAGTGCACTTACTACCTTTTTTCTGGCCTTCATCACAGTGGATGGAGTTTGCTCTTTTATATATTTTTTTACTTGCTGCACTGCTGAGACTTTTTGCCACTGCAACCAACAAAAGGCAAGAAGAGATGGTTTACGGTAATTTCACAAAGGACAGGTTGGACAAAGACAAAAGATGTGAGGTCATAACTGCAGTGGTATTGCATGTCGCAGTCTATGGGACATCAACAGAGGTCTGTGCACAAGTATTAACAGATGTACCCAGCCTCAGGTGCACAAGCCTTGGAACTGGTTTCATAATGGCTATTGTTATAACAGGAAAGGTGGGGCTGGGCCAGGTTATAATAATGTCTGGTCAATGTATTCCTTTCCCTAAAATCCTTTTCCTTAAACAAAAGATTAGCTCATGGAGAGAGGAGTTTATTGTGCTGCAGTCAGATACTACACTGGGAATTTGTGAATGGCTTTTAGAACCCTAACAATGTAAACAGGATTTAATTCAAATATCTATGCCATTTAGTGGCTCTTTATCAATAAACTTTCATAGAAGTGTGTATCAAAAAGACACACCCTGGGGCGCCCTGTAGCTCGTCTGGTAGAGCTGGCCCCCACGTACGACACAAATAAGGAACAATTCCCTTCTTTGAAACGTCTGGCACAGAAACACGAGGACACAGAAGAGAACAAGCGTGATAGACAAATGGAGACTGGTCAAGAAAAAAATTGCTACATTTACAATGAATTCATAAAATATAATATAATATATAGTATTATTAGAAAAGCAGCATGCATGCATCTAGCACTGAAATGATTCATGGTTAATATAATCTATAGACCCACTCCCACAGAAACTGTCTGCAAATTCTTGTGGGAAACTTGGATCTTTTGAGCTGGAAGTAGTAATATGATACATCTAGAAAAACAGAGCATACATATGACTAACAGAGAGGGATACCAATGAAAGCAGGTGTGTGCTTTAAAAGCAGTGGTCCACCACTGGCGGCCCCGCAGGCCACATCAGGCCAACCAAAGCTTCCCATCCAGCCTGCAGAATGAAATGATTAAAGTAATTATATACTGAAAATATTACGACCTGGGTGTCTGCGGCCACACTCACAGGAAAATGCTGTATTGAGTTATTTAACTGGTGAAACACGACTTGACTTTTATTATTAAGTAGTATTCACAAGAAATGCAAAGTGAATTGTCATTTTTAATGTTTTTTGACAGCTGATTAGTTTGAAATATAGCAGGGAGTAATGGAACAAGAAGGAGCAACCGCAGTGAGCGATCACAGGAAGAGTTGCAGGCAATGGGCTGCACGTCTCAATTTGTCAATTCTCTCAATTCATATACATAAAATGTATGTTTATGTATATGATTGAATTTATATGTTATTCTAATGTAAATTTAAATAAATCTATTGTTCTATGTGTGTAGCATCAAAAGACTGCAAACTTTTACTGTACAACATTGTGTTGGATAATGATTTCCTTTATCTTTGAATAGCTAGATGTGGGCTATCCTCAGTATGTGGATGTTGAATAAATGATGCCATGTCAGTATCAATGTGTGTGTGTTTGTGTGTAATAACCCTACAGCCATTTCAGCTTTGCTTTACACATTCTGTGCCGAGTGTTTCCCACTCTGACTGAACTTAAAACAAAGTCTACGGATATCACTTTGCATTGCCTAAACAGAGTCTACCAAATACACAGAAACCCCAGAACTGAGGCCATTCCTACATACAGGAGAGGAGGTCAGTTGAGGTCAAATGGTGTCCTGCGGCTCGGGGTTGCAGATGAGGCTGTGTGCAGATTAGGCAGGGCTGTGTACTGGCAACACAGAGATGGATGCTCTGAATGCAGGATTAGACTAGGAGTGATCTAGGAGTCATTTTTCCACATCATCTCTCCTTTATATGCTCCCATATCTCTACAATATGTGCACAGGCAAAATGGGACAGCATTTTTACACCTTTACAACAGTTCATCGGCTCCTAATACACTATCATGAAATGTGGTGAACTTGTTTCTGGTGCAGGTGTTTCCTCCTGCTGCCTCTCACAGCCTCATTCATCTGTTGTAGAGGTCATTAAACAAACAAACAAACCTCAAACAGCAGCGAGTACATTTGCCTGTAAGCACTAGACAGCCATTTAACAACCTTTCAAACACACCAAAGACTATTTCAGTTGGAGCACAGTGCTAGCTGTGAGAAATGTCCACGAGTGAACCTCTAAAGACCTTGACCACCTTTTGCCATGCTTATACATGAGGTTCCTCCATTTTTTATAAACCAAGAAATATGTGGTAAGTATGCCACAGAACAGGTGCAACAATATTGAAACTCCAAATTCTTCTAATGAGAAAAAGAAACTAGACAAACTTTCACAACACACTGTAACAAACAATAGCTTAAGAGTGTTTGGGGTTTTCAAATCCATATTGGGTTGACAGTGTAGGACCTGTCTGACGCTTACCCTTACCTTAAAGATGAATGCCTGTACTTTAACGCCACAGCCATGTTTTATTATAAATCCTATGTTCTAGAGTACAGAGCCAAAACAAAAGGGTCCTGTTACTAACAGACTGCACTGTACTTGTGTTCACTTCCTACCCGGCACCTTGTTCAACCTGTGTCGATAGATCAATAAAATATGCAGGAGTCCTGGGATCAAAGCGCAAGTCTTTACCTGGATTTTGGTTCATGGTTCCAGGGGTGTCAATCCCAGGATGAGACCTGTTTAACCCCTGGTTGGCGTCCCACTCCGACTAGTCAGATCGGAGGGCCAGAATCAACATTCCTACTTCCTGAAAACATCCTACACAGTGGAAGATAAGCTGGAATCCAAAGTCCATGGTGCAGTGAAGGGCATGAAGGAGAAAGCTACAAGAAGAAATTCCAAACAACAACCCCCGAAAAAGGGACACCGAAAACTCAAGTTTTTCAGAGTAAAGGGGAAAGCAGGAAGGGAGAAATGGAGAGGGGTCAGCTCTGGTCGGTGTCACTGTCGCTGAGAGCCGACTCAGTGTGAGACAGGTTGTGGCGACTCTCCAACCCCCATCCTTTTGTCCATAAGTGTGTGTGTTTATGTGTGTGTGTGTAAAAGAGACAGAGAGTGGGACACGGGGAGAGTGTGACTGTTTAATCTGCCCCTCCCTCCCGTAGTGCTGGTGTGTGTGAGCGCCAACACGCTCCCCACCCCCAATCTATCCGCCTTCATTGGCAGTCAGATTAAATGGTCAGAGTTAGCGATTAATGCTGTGCTGTCCGGGCCAGTGGGTAGCAGGCGAGCACACGGTGCGGCTCCTGCCTCCCCTGC